GGTGAATGGTCAAAAATAATGCGTACCATTTAGTTACAGAGCAGATTGCTTAAATTATGACCCTCGTTTTCTGTTTTGTTAACTGTCCAGTTTACGCAAATGCAATTTGGTTAACACATCAATGCAGAGAGCAAACATGCATAAATTCTTTCATTTACATGCCATATTTTTGTCGTCTAAGGTGGACTCCTCCTAACTTTATGTTTCACTGTTACATGTTGCAGTCCAAAGCACGGATGATTCAATGGTGAGCCTTTACTGCACAGAATGCTACGCAGACTATCCGACGTTGGATGAACTGGAAGAGCACATAAGCTCATGTCATCTTTGTAATTTCCCTTGCCTCTTGTTTTATTTTTTCTTCTTGGTTTTTTCTGACTTGCAGACATATAGCGAGGATTATTTGAGTAGAATGATGATGAAACGTTATTTGGTCAGCAAAGTTTGTAAGTTTCTAGTGACATTTGTGCTACTTCAATACCTTTTTATCAGGACCGACTACTTAATAGGCCTTGAGCGTTCACTTTGTACAGTATGTAATGGCACTACAAAAATAAGACACATAAGTCACGAAAGACGTGAAGGGAATGAAGAGTAATAAAAGTGGCAGGAAATGTGGAGATAACTCGTTGCCCCAGTCGTTAGGCTTTGGAAAAACCAGCACCGCCCTCAACATTAAATTAACACCTTGTCAGTCAAATTCATCGAAAAAGCACAGCTATCCAACCATCCATCTAGGAAGAGCGAATGTAGCATATCGTCATGGGCTAGAAAACCTGGATAGTAAAATTGGCCATGTGTAGAATTGTCTTAAGACGTAATTCTTGAAGACGATTTCCCAAGTAGCACTAAGGCTGTCCTGAATTTTTCGGCGGGTATCTTTTCTACTACTAAGAAACTGAAGCCTTGACAGTTCCTTTTTTACCAAAGGCAGACTCCGATGATATTATGCTGCCCTATTTAGAGCAGCAGCTATATCTATGATTAGTCTAGACGGTTTCTATGCTCGGCCAAACTATGTTACCGACAATAACATGAGAGAAGCTTAAAGAATGCTAGTAAAATATGGAAAAATATTCGCATAGTAGG